TCTCTGCCCCGCCCCCGATAGATCACCTGAGCAGTGAACCAGGAAATGATGACTGCGGCAAATGTAGTGTCCTTCGAAAGCTCACCTTCAACTTTAGACCGGCTCAGCCCTGCAGACATTCTTCACATTCCATGACGGAGCTTCTGACAGGTAGCTATAATGAGTCAGTTCACTGGCCGTATACCATCCTGCTTCTCTGTAAGCAGAGACACATTTACAACTCACAAAACACAATATGGAGCAGAGGTCTGCTGTTGGGAAGACAGTGTGGAAAGACAGAAGAACAAAAGAAACATCCCTCCACAGTGTGTACACACACACACACACACACACACACACACACACACACAAGACATGAAGTGTTATCAGTAGCAACAAAAAAATTCCACATACAGGACGGAACACACAGGGAAACAGAGAGAGATCAGATTGCAGTGGGTGCTCCAGAAGGAGGCTGTGTCCTCCAGATGTCACCGGTGATGGAAAAGTACCGTCACACCCAGTGGAGCCTCACATCCTTCTGGGGGAGACGGGATTAAACTAATAGCTCGTCCTCACTTTGTGCTCTTCTCTCCTGTTCTTACGTTCTCTGAAATATGCTGATGGGACATTCCTTCAGCTCCTGCTGCATGAGCACAGAATGAGTTCACTGTGTACTATCCCACATTCAGACATGACGTTTCATGGTGAACTCATTACACTCCACTTCTAACATGAACATTCAGTCACACTGGCTGCAAAAGACCCTTCTTATCAAACAAATATCTGTCTCTTCTCACTCAAACTCATTAAAGGGGTACTTTCTCAATGTCAGGGCAAGTGCCCTGACATTGAGAAAGTACAAGGTACAGATGCAAGGTACAGATGAAAAAGGAATTGTGCAGCAGGGATCAAGACATCTTGACTTTTAAGTCAAAGTATGGGTGAAGCTCTAAAACCACTGGAGTAATGTCTACATGAGCAGAGAAAGAAGTCTCCCTGTGTGTGTTGATATCACAGCTTCTCCTCTTTTTGTTCACAAAGCCAGCCGGCCGTGTACTTTCTGTACATGTTAGTGAATGTTAGTGCATGTGAGCATGCTCTACTGGTTAGCTCACAGCTGTCGCTCTGCACTGCTCTCATACGGCGGTTACAGCTGATAACGTCCAGACTGACGGCATCGTAGTGGAAGAGTAACACTGCCCTCAGGTAAACACCGTTAACTGTGAGACGCTGACTTGCCTTCCCCATGTTGAGAGCCATTGAAAGGTAATAGAAATGCTTCCTATCTGGAATCTAATCTAACAATCTGTCATATATAATAATATATCAGTCACAGGGCCATTTTGCTGATAATACCTCAATGATTTTACTTAGGTAGGGTTTGAATACTGTCACTGGTAATACTTGGAGTATTTTACATGGTTGTACTGGTACTTTAACTTAATTAAAGGAGCTGAATACCTTTTCACATTTTCATTTATTTTTTCCCTGTGTTAAAAATCAAAAATGAATTAAATTAATGAATTCGTGGGGAGTGGCACGATCACCCAGCCTGCCCCGACGGACCAAACGCCACTGAAAGCAAAGTGGAGAGGACCCAGCTTGGATTTACAGCTGTTCCACCAGCATAGCTTCTGTCTGTTGGCTCACCAGCAACAAGAAGGTGATGATCCATCTCAAGTCACACCACAGGACTGAAGAGGTGGACCAGAGGAGGTGGACTCTGTTTACATCATGATACTTGGTGCTCAAACACAATCAAAGTTGATGGACGGTGTTTCCTTGATGTCCTATGTTTAATGTGAAGATTCCATAAACTCTCCCCAGTTTATTTCTTTTGATACAAGTTCAAAAAATGCTCAGGAATATCCTCCTGTTTTTGTTGTGTTGATCTTGTTTTTCTTGTGTAGCAAATGGGCTGCAACTGCATTTCATCATGCATCCATGTGTTGTATAATCAATCAATAAATGATCCTTGAATCAAATCAACAAATCTCTAAGTAAGCTCCTGGGTTTGGCCAGAGCAAGGTGTTTTGTTGTTTGTATGGGTGCACTTTAGTACTACAGTATTTACATCTCACATAATTACTAGGAGTAGTGATCACAGAGAGCGCAGCACGGTCAATGTGACCTTCCCTCAGACTTGATGGATGAGAGAGAGTGTGTTTGTAAGGCCGTTCACACACATGTATTTGAGATGATGCCTGCAGAGCCAGCGTGTCTGCCACCTAGTGAGTGTCCAGCTGCTCTGCATGTTATCTGGAAGCAGGACAAACAACTCTGCTTGCTGAAGTAGGTCTTAGATCTGCAAAGGTAGCAATATTTTTGGTCATTTAAACATATTTTAATAAATGATGACGCTGATGTATTGATGATGTAGAAATGCTTGTTAGCATTCTGTCTCTTCAAGGTCGGCCTACTGTATCATTTGTATATGTTTGCTTCTGGAGGCATCAGAGAAAATACAAGAAAACAGATCAAGGAGAGATTTATTTACTTTATTCTTTCTGACTGTGTCAATGAGAAGTGAATGTTTGTTTCTTTGTATCAGCATAAACTGCACTGTGACTGTATCATATCATCATATCAAATAGTTCAGAGGGTTTACTGATGAAGAAATGAATGGATAGAATCCAGGAGTATGAGACAGAAAAAGGTGTTGAGGGAAAGAGAAAGACAAGCAAGAGCGAGAAGTTTGGATAGGAGGGTCACAGAGGTAACTACAGGAAGAAAGGTGGGTCAATCACAAGAACAGGAGTGGAGAGTAGTTATAGTGACTGATTCCAGCAACTAGCCACTCGGCTGGGTGCGGGAGAAGATAGTGTTATTTATTCCCTTCAACAAAGAGATTCCAGGCTCTTTCACTTTTGGGTGTGGTTTAATTCCCGTTTAATTAGAATAATCGGCTTACAGATGATATGATAGAACTTATCTTCCTGGTCTCCTTCTGGTGTGTCTTGCTTGTGATCTCCCCGTCACCCATGCATCTGTAGCGTCCTTTTAAATGTGTCAGTGACAGATATAAAGAATAAAATGCAAAGTATGATGCCACAAGGCTTAAAAGCAGAAGGGCTGAAGGACTACAGGAAACCCTATCAGTAACGGTTCAGTTTGAGAATGTCCTCCCTAAATCAGTACAAATGGGAGACATGAATTACAGTGTGAGAGAACACATCCCCAAACCATTCAGGTGTTATAAGAGCCAAAGAGTGGGGCACACAGCACAGCAATGCTAAAGAAAAGGAAGATGTGCAGGTGTGGAGGAGAGCATGAGAGTGTAAATGTGAATGAGATGCTAGAGGTTAAATGCTGTCATTGTGGAGGTGAGCACTGTGCTGCATTTGGAGGCTATGAAGTTCAAGAGGAAACCAAAGGAGTCCAGAGGGTCAAGATAATGAGCAGAGTATCATACATGGGAGCACTGAGGACTCCCGTGAGGGAGACAAGATCAAAATACAAAGACCAGCCCTAGATAAGCTGCTATAGGCCTAGACTGCCGGAGGACTTCCTACACTGAGCTCCTCTCTCCTCTTCTCTCTCTCCTTCTGTATGAATTCATGTCCCATTAATGCACATTACTAACTTTGCTTCTTCCCCAGAGTCATTGAGCTTTCTTGCCTCACAATGACCCCTAACCCAAGCAGCACCTGCCTTCAGGAAACGATATATGCCATTGTAAATGTAGTGGTACCCCTCTAGGCATCGGTATATACCGCTGAACACAGTGGCATACCAACGGCTACTTTATGATGTCAGCTCTACTGCAGAAAGGGTTGGAACATTACATTTTCTGGGAGCTCATTTTAAGGAGAAAGCAACTTGGAGAACGGGACGTGTCAGAGGAGTAACTGTGGTCGGGTAAGGAAGGACATAGTTTGATCTGAGGATGAGCCCCTCATGGTGGCTCCATGGACACGTGTGTGGCCTGATGTAGACTCGTATCTGTTCGAGGTCAAAAGGAAAGAAAAAGATAATGTTGATTTGGTAAGTGCATTTGGATATTATGTAATGAAAAAGTACATTGATTTTACACAGATTTACATGGATGGTGCGAAGAAACCTGAGACAGGAGTGACAGGATGGGGGGGAGCTAAAGGAATAGGAATCAACAGAAGAACATCCAATAATCTACTTTACACAGTGGAGATGCTGACGGTGCTGGTTGCACTACGATGGGTGCAAAAAAATAGATAGGAAAAGCTGTTGTGATGCTCCGACTCATCTTCAGCCCTAGTAAGTTTAAGGTCTTTTCATTCAAACTGCCGTCAAGATAAACTGTATGAAGTCCTTCAGTCAGCCACAAGAATATCTAATCTGGGAAGTTAAACTCCTGTGGGATCCAGCACATGTAGGGGTGAGTAAGAATGACAAGGCTTTAAAGAAAGGAAACATAGATATGAAGATCAGTATGAGTAGAGCAGAGGTCAAGTGTCTAATTTGGGGGGGAAAATCTACTAAATGTGGCAAAAAAGGTGTTACAGAGAGGAGAAAGGGAGACATCTATATCTTCAAAAGAGTGTCAAAGTTACAAGGATAGGTAGTAGGAACAGGAGAGAGGAAACAGTTTTGACAAGGTTACGGTTGGGCCATAGTGCACTAAACAAAACACAAAAAATGATAGAAAACATCAGACATGGTCGAGTGTGAGGGACGTCAGCTGAGCATGTCGTTTTCAGTTGTAGGGAGATGATCAGTAATAATCTGAGGGAATGCACATTCAAAGGATTACTGAGCATAGAGAGCACAGGTTAGGGTACTGTTCTGTAGGGTACATTCTTAAGGAACACAGAGGGTTATAGGATGGAAAAGCAGGGATATGGTACAAGGTTGCTTGTCAGAGGCTAGGATTTTAAAGGTCTAGGGAGGATAAAATACAAGTTAATGTGGTACGCGTGGAAAGATTGAAAGTCTATTGGGTGATCCACACTCCGGAGCAGAAGATGGCGGTAATGCACCAACAAGCTGAAGGCCAACCGGAATCCAGAAGAAGAAGAAGAAGGTATGCAGTTTCTACGATCCGCAAATAATCCCATAGAAGAAGAAGTATCACAGCGCCTCACAGTAAATGGAGATAAACGTGGACAACAATAGTATATATGTTCAGTGAAAGTATATTTTTAGAACAGCTATGGATATAGAGCTGTACCTAATAGCTGCTGCCATCCTCATTGTGCTCATTTTGTTTGCGTTAAAGGTGCGGAGACAGACACAGCAAGGTAAGGAGCCTTAAAGCTAATGTTAGCTAAACGGTACACATTGTGACCTAACAGCTAAAGTCAATGTTAGCATAGTTGTGAACAAGCCGTTGCAGTTTGACATAAGGTTTGTAACGTTTCCGACACAGTGTCATATTTTTGACATAATGTATATTTCAGCACGTTGACATGTTTTCTACTGTTAGGAAACGTCAGCTCACAGCTGTTAGTCCGTCATAACTACGGAGGCTGCAGTGTGCCACGTGAACCTGAATGATTGTTCTCCACCTCTGACCCTTAATCAGCACTTTCGTTGGTATCTATTTAGTCATTGTTGAAGTGAGTTATTCTAGACGTAGTTTGTTTTCTTCTTTTATTGAAAGCGATCAACTGAAAGACTTTAGTTGTGACAGTTGTTCTCTTTGGTGCATGTGGTATTTGTTATTTACACATGTTGTCACATAGATGTTATGCGAAGCTGTACATGGGGGGGACTTAGGACCCAGGGGAATGGGGGCGAAGCAGGGCAACCTGGGAAGGGGTCTGGACTGTGGGGTAAGGTACCGGAGCAGCTATGAAATAAGGAGTTGACTTAAGAGCAGTCTGTTCTCACGTTTATTTCTAAACACGACAGTGCATATGATAGCTAACGTTAAACTAAATGTGATGAGACATATCTATCCATCCATCCATCCATTTTCCTCCGCTTATCCGGGGTTGGGTCGCGGTGGCAGCAGGCCAAGCAGGCTGACCCAGACTTCCCTCTCCCCCGCAACATTTTCAAGCTCATACTGGAGGATCCCGAGGCATTCCCAGGCCAGCTGGGAGACATAATCCCTCCAGCGTGTTTTGGGTCTTCCATGGGGTCTGTTCCCAGTTGTACGTGCCCGGAAAACCTCCAATGGGAGGCGCCCAGGAGGCATCTTAATGAGATGCCCGAACCACCTCAGCTGACTCCTTTCGACGCGGAGTAGCGGCTCGACTCCAAGCTCCTCCTGATGACCGAGCTCCTTACCCTATCTCTAAGGCTGAGCCCGGCCACCCTGCGGAGGAAACTCATTTCGGCTGCTTGTAGCCGCGACCTTGTCCTTTCGGGTGAGGGTCGGAACGTAGACCGACCGGTATATTGAGAGCTTTGCCTTCCGGCTCAGCTCCCTCATCACAAAGACGGTCCGGTGCAGCGCCTGCTTTACTGCTGCAGCCGCACCGATCCGCCTGTCGATCTCCCGCTCCATCTTACAATCACTCGTGAACAAGACCCCGAGATACTTAAACTCCTTCGCTTGAGGTAGGCACTCTGTCCCCACCTGGAGGGAGCAATCCACCGGTTTCCAGCAAAGCACCATGGCCTCAGATTTGGAGGCGCTAACTCTCATCCCCGCTGCTTCACACTCTGCTGCAAACCGCCCCAGTGAATGCTGGAGGTCACGATCCGAGGAGGCCAACAGGACCACATCATCTGCAAACAGCAGAGAGACGTACCTAGTCAGGACTAAAGACCTGACCAGGACACCCGGAGCCCAAACTGCTTTCACCAACAACACATTGTTGCAGGTTTTTTAAATGTTGGAATGTTTTTAACCTTATTTTGATTCTATGACTGGATAGAGCACAGTGTGATTATGGTAAGGACATGGATGCACCAGACTCACTCCAGTCACACTGTCTAACCTCAGGGTAGTGATCAGAGACTCTGATCTGAGGCCAGTGGTATGTGAAGTCTTTGTAGTCTTTACACATAGACAGTACTATGACATGTGGTGTGTCCTCTCCATGCGCAGCTGATGAGGAGCAGCAGAGGGATGTTGTCCGGGCAGCGGGGCCCCCTCAGCGGGCAGCAGAGGAGCGAGGAGCCGGGATGCCTCGCAGGAGGAGGAACCTCGACGCGGTGATGGCCAACAGACGACCGCAGAGAGAAGCTGTGGAACCCGGTAGACTTATAAACAGGCCTTTAAGCAGTGTCCCACTGAGCCAGCAGGCCCATTACCAGGCACCTAAATGTTGTATCAATGATATCTGTGCTTTTTCTTCCATGAGATGGTCAGATGTATCTCTATTAGATGCTGCAGAATGAGTTAATAACAATGTCAGTGTTACATTGATGCTCCCATCTCAACAGACGTCTCGTGACACATGTCATGTGTGATGTAGAAGAACATGTAACACGTGTGCTGCTTTCAGAGGAAGAGCGTGTTGAGGAGGAAGAAGAGGGGGAGCAGCAGGACTTCCAGCCGACTGCAAAAGTTGGAGCCAAGAAGCAGAAGAAGCTGGAGGAGAAACAGGCCAAGAAAGCCCAGAGAGAGGTGAGGGCTTTCTCCCGCTCACTAGTTAGTGGAGCTAGTCTCACTGGAAGAGTGGACCAAATGACTCATTGTTCAACAGTTGAGTTTGCAGTAGCATCCAGTGTTGGTTTATTTCCAGGTGGAGGTGGAGGAGAGAGAGGAGAGGAAGAGGATGCAGGAGCTCAGAGAGCAGGAGAGACGTCATGAGGACGAGAGAGAGCGACAGCTGGAGCAGAAACAGGTCACCACTCACCAACTCATTCCTCCCTGTGTGTCGCTACGAGGAGGTGCTGACACTCTGTGCTGGTGTTTGTTTAGGAGGAGGAGGAGCTCCGGGCTAAAGAGGAGCAGGAGAAACGGGAGGAGGAGGAGTACTTGAGGCTCAAAGCCTCCTTCACCATAGAAGACCAGGGCGAGGAGGAGCAGCTCACTGAGGACCAGGTCACAACTCTCTGAGCTTATATTTCCATTCCTCTGTCTTTAATCTATAATACAGTTTATTAATAAAGTGTTTGTGTTCTTTCCTCTCAGTCACGCAACCTGCTGCAGGACTTCATCCAGTACATCGAGGTGAGAGCTGACGGACTCCTGAGACCCCAACCTGTGCTGGACTCTCTGAACCTAGTATCCTTACAGTGTCTCCTCTGTCCTGCAGAGCTCTAAGGTGGTTCTCCTGGAGGACTTGGCTTCTCAGTTTGGGATGAGGACCCAGGATGCTATTGACCGCCTGCAGGACCTGTTAGCTGAAGGCTCCCTCACAGGTAAACTTCTCTAGCTCCTTTGCTGCTGGGTACCACCTCTTCCTTTGTTTTTATTGTTGATGTATTTGTACGTGCCTGGACCATTCTATAGGTTTATGTATGCTTGTTCGACAGTTAGGAGTAAATAGAAACACATTTTATTGCCATCATGTATATACTGAAGGCTGACTGTAGACTGAGGAGAAAACCATGCTTTAAAGGTGAGGATCGCCCCCCGGGGGCTCAACTTCTATCACTGCTCTTCTGCTCATGAAACTTTCACGTGCTCCCTCACCAGTACTCAGTGATTCCATCACCACATTTCATCTGTTACAATCCTCCATTGTGGATTGGCCAGATATCACCCCTGATACGATAGATGTTAAACACTACTGTACTACATTTCAGAGGTACATATTGTACTTTTTGCTCTACTACATTTCAGAGGTACATGTACTTTTTACTGTACCTCATCTCAGAGGTACATATTGTACTTTTTACTGTACCTCATCTCAGAGGTACATATTGTACTTTTGTGTGTGTGTGTGTGTGTGTGTATATATGTTTATATAATTTTCAGCAATGCTTTTCAATTTCTTTTAGCTTTGTGCATTGAAACACATTTGACTGCCTGAAATGCATTTTCTAGTTGTAATTACATTGCGGATGCTCGGGCCCTATTGAAATTCAAATACACATAGTACATTGGGGTACTTGCCATGCTCAAACTCCCCAAATTTTGCACACTTGTCAGGCCTGGTGACAATAGCCATCTGATATACAGCGGGTAAAATAAGTATTGAACACGTCACCATTTTTCTCGGTAAATATATTTCTAAAGGTGCTATTGACATGAAATTTTCACCAGATGTCGGTAACAACCCAAGTAATCCATACATACAAAGAAATCCAAACAAATAAGTTCAGAAATGAAGTTATGTGCAATAAAATGGAATGACAGGGGAAAAGTACTGAAATTGATAAAATACTTCGTACAAAAGCCTTTGCTGGTAATGACGGCTTCAAGACGCCTCCTGTATGGAGAAACGAGTCACATGCATTGCTCAGGTGTGATTTTTGGCCCATTCTTCCACACAAACAGTCTTCAAATCTTGAAGATTCCGTGGGCCTCTTCTATGAACTCTGATCTTTAGTTCTTTCCATAGATATTCTATTGGATTCAAGTCAGCTGATCATCTGGACCATTCTAGCAGCTTTATTCTAATAGGCGGACCGCGGTCCGGATCTGGACCCAGACGCTGTCATATCCGGACCCAGACGTATAAGTGATGGATAATTGAGAATTATACATTTTGGCGGAGCGCTTCTATTTTAACCTGCAAAGCTTTTCTAGCTTTTACGGCACTCATTCAGCAGTCCAGGAAATACACCGACCAATCGCATGCATTGTAAATCGTCTCACGTGATGCTATTCAGCCAATCGAATATCTGTATTCTGAAAGTCATCGTGAGTCGAGTGAGATTTACACACAGACAGGGGGGAGACGGAGATAGAGAGCAGTGGGTGAGTGAGTCGGAGAAGCAGTTTAACATGGTGTGCTCCAAAAAGAGAAAAGTGTACCGCGAAAACAGAGCTTTTAACAAAGAATGGACAGACTCTTATTTGTTCATTCTTCCTGCTGGCGCTACTAAACCACTCTGTCTCATATGTTCAGATACCGTGGCCATTATTAAATGCGCCAATGTGAAACGCCACTACGAGACCAAACATAAATCTTTAGACCGAACACTCCAGTCTGAACTGAGGGCAAGATGTTGAGATGTGTAGAGATTGTTTATTATAAAGTTGACTGAGACCAGCCACACTTTCCTTTTTTCAACTTCATTAACTTTTCTAAAATCAAGCACTTTCTTTTAAGAATCAAGTTTTTCAAAAATTCTTTTTTGTGTATTTTATTTTTAGATGGAGCCCTTATTTTACTAGAAATGAGAAAAGAACATTTACTTATGTATGTTATTTATAATCCATCCAGTTATTTTTATTTATCTATCTATCTATCTATCTATCTCTATATATATCTATCTCTATATATATCCCTGCTCTAAACCATACGTGAAGTCAGCCATTTAGATTTTTGTGTAATTTTTAAATAGATTTTCGCCCTTTTGTAGTCTCTATACTTTAACGAACTCCTCTTAGGGGATTTATCTGATCCATTTCAAATTTGTTCAGTACAATCTCAAGACCTTTGTGATTTAAAAGTTATTAAAGCTTTACGTATGCTTGAATGTCTTAGCCGTAGCGGGCGGCTAATTTACGTGATTCCCCATCAAAAAAGCTGATGTAACTCAGCTGGACTTGTTCTAAACGGTCCCAAACTTCCCATGCATGACAACTCATGGCCTGAGGATGTCTACAGGCTCATTTTCACTAATACTCACAGCGCCACCTGCTGGCGAAAGCAAAAACTGCGTTTTCTGACAAACAGCATTCGATTTACATGACTTTTACACTATGCAGTTTACACTTGATATAGAGCTACATAATGCATATTTGCGCGTCTTCTGTAGCGCCACACAGCGGATACAGGAAGCGGTGGACTATTTCAAAGCATCATTTCCAGCATCAGGCGGTCCACGCAGGAAAAAAAAGTCCTACTTGCTGTCAGACGGCTGCAGACGTTCTCGGCCGCGCCGGCCGGAGTCCCGCCGGCACCCCTAACGCACCGGAGGATGCGAGGGCCCGTTCATCGCTGCGTGCAGATTTAATTATTATTGTGTCCTCTCTGACATGACATGTTGTGTTTTGCTGTTTACAGGAGTGATTGATGACAGAGGAAAGTTTATCTCCATCACTCCAGAGGAGCTGGACTCAGTGGCTCAGTTCATGAGGCAGAGAGGCAGAGTGTCCATCACAGAGCTGGCTCAGGCCAGCAACTCTCTGATCAACCTGCTGCCTGATGGACAGCTGCACCGCAGTGATCTGGTGTGTTAGAAGGTTGGACTCACTGTTTTGTGCCCGGTGATGTCATCATCTGTTGTCCTTTATAGTGACATCACGGCTCAGTTGCCTTTATTCACTTGAGGTGTCCGACTTCACAGATCAGGACCGTAACATACAATGACTACTGTGTATGACGTTAAATTGACAAACCCATCATCACAAAAAACAATTTAACATTATTGTGAAAATAAAAAAAAATGGAAACAAATAGTTTGAGATTCATGTGGACTTTGTCTTTTTTACTGTGACATTACATCATATAAGGGCTGCAAGCTTGTAAAATGTACTAATTAAACAAGTTCACACCAACGTGTCAAAAACACTTTTCAAATCCATCTAAATTGATAAAGATGCAGAGTGCTGCTCGAGCTTTTCTTTTAATAAGATTCTACGTTTTGAAGTAAAACTAAGTGTTGGTAACACAAGTTTAATTGATTCAAATATTACAAGGAAGGTAGTCCAGGGTCAAAAAGCAGAAACATCTTATTGAAAAACAATGACCATAAATCAAATGTTTAGTGTGAAAGGGTACTCTTCACAGAAGTCCCATTTAAGCTCTATGAATGGAACATTGGGCCAAGAAGTCTTCAGGTCCTCTGGACATTGATACTTCATGGTTACTAAAACACAGAATACTAGCCGTACTGTGTATCAAGCCCATGGAGCAGCTTTTACTCATATACAACTCCTGTTGTGCTCCTTATTCTCTATATATCCACCCATTTTCATGAACTGTGGAATATTCCATTATTATTTACAAGCCTTTTTGTAACCACACCCATTTATTATCCATCATGAGCCCATTTCTCTGCTAATATTTTCTACTATTGTTTCTGGTGTTTTCCAAAAGCATATTAAAAGTATATCTATTCATTGAGTGGTTGAGATGAGCTCTCTCTCTCTCTCTCTCTCGTTTAGCGCTTTACCTGAGCTGTGTGGATTTTTTTTTTTTTAATCTTCATAAAATCTACATTTCTGCCACATGACAGTTTTAAGGGGTGTGCATCACAGCAACGAATTGTTATTCAGGTTCAACCATCCTCAAACTCTTATGAGTGCCCTGTGCTGTAGGCTAATCCAACACATGTATGGCAGGTCTGCTTGGCTCTTTATTGAATTTACTAGCTATCTAACCTCATCTAGCATCTGTGTAGCTGTAGTTAGCCTCATGCATGTCGGTTTAGTCTAGTTGGCTTCCATTGAGTGGCATGAGCCATACCGCCAAATATAGAAATAAAGCTTTTCTTTGACAAAAGTGGTTCTGACTGAAATTGAGGCCAGGCCACAAAGTCGAGCTCAGCTCACACCCCATCAGCTGATTTCCTTCTAGTCCCACAGGGCGCCTGTTTAAGCTGCTCTGGACTGCTCCGTTCCAGCTGCTCCTCTTCATGTTTTGACTTCATATCACTGATGTTGATGCTGGATCTGTTCTGTACCATCAGAGGTCCTTGCTGCTGCTCCCAGAACAGCCATACCGCAAAAAATATGTTCAGGTGCTGGTCATATAATTAGAATAGCATCAAAAAGTTTATTTATTTCACTAATTCCATTCAAAAAGTGAAACTTGTCTATTATATTCATTCATTACACACAGACTGATACATTTCAAATGTTTATTTCTTTTAATTTTGATGACTATAACTGACAACTAAGGAAAATCCCAAATTCAGTATCTCAGAAAATTAGAATATTACTTAAGACCAATAAAGAAAGGAATTTTAGAAATCTTGGCCAACTGAAAAGTATGAACATGAAAAGTATGAGCATGTACAGCACTCAATACTTAGTTGGGGCTCCTTTTGCCTGAATTACTGCAGCAATGCGGCGTGGCATGGAGTCGATCAGTCTGTGGCACTGCTCAGGTGTTATGAGAGCCCAGGTTGCTCTGATAGTGGCCTTCAGCTCTTCTGCATTGTTGGGTCTGGCATTTCGCATCATCCTCTTCACAATACCCCATAGATTTTCTATGGGGTTAAGGTCAGGCGAGTTTGCTGGCCAATTAAGAACAGGGATACCATGGTCCTTAAACCAGGTACTGGTTGCTTTGGCACTGTGTGCAGGTGCCAAGTCCTGTTGGAAAATGAAATCTGCATCTCCATAAAGTTGGTCAGCAGCAGGAAGCATGAAGTGCTCTAAAACTTCCTGGTATACAGCTGCGTTGACCTTGGACCTCAGAAAACACAGTGGACCAACACCAGCAGATGACATGGCACCCCAAACCATCACTGACTGTGGAAACTTTACACTGGACCTCAAGCAACGTGGATTGTGTCTCCTCTCTTCCTCCAGACTCTGGGACCCTGATTTCCAAAGGAAATGCAAAATTTACTTTCATCAGAGAACATAACTTTGGACCACTCAGCAGCAGTCCAGTCCTTTTTGTCTTTAGCCCAGGCGAGACGCTTCTGACGCTGTCTGTTGTTCAAGAGTGGCTTGACACAAGGAATGCGACAGCTGAAACCCATGTCTTGCATACGTCTGTGCGTAGTGGTTCTTGAAGCACTGACTCCAGCTGCAGTCCACTCTTTCTGAATCTCCCCCACATTTTTGAATGGGTTTTGTTTCACAATCCTCTCCAGGGTGCGGTTATCCCTATTGCTTGTACACTTTTTTCTACCACATCTTTTCCTTCCCTTCGCCTCTCTATTAATGTGCTTGGACACAGAGCTCTGTGAACAGCCAGCCTCTTTTGCAATGCCCTTTTGTGTCTTGCCCTCCTTGTGCAAGGTGTCAATGGTCGTCTTTTGGACAACTGTCAAGTCAGCAGTCTTCCCCATGATTGTGTAGCCTACAGAACTAGACTGAGAGACCATTTAAAGGCCTTTGCAGGTGTTTTGAGTTAATTAGCTGGTTAGAGTGTGGCACCAGGCGTCTTCAATATTGAACCTTTTCACAATATTCTAATTTTCTGAGATACGGAATTTGGGATTTTCCTTAGTTGTCAGTTATAATCAAAATTAAAAGAAAAACATTTGAAATATATCAGTCTGTGTGTAATGAATGAATATAATAGACAAGTTTCACTTTTTGATGATATTCTAATTATATGACCAGCACCTGTATTGTGGTCCTGACTGAAATGTAATTTTTAGGATTTGTTTGCAGCACAAATTACTTTTGTAGTGAGTGCAAAGAAATACCACCAGTCTTCTAATCTCACAGTTGGTAATATTTCCCAAAATATCAGAAGTGTTGCTTTAATATTAATTCAATCATTAGACACTTTAAAACATGTGGCAGCATTATAGTGTAGCTCAGCACAGGACCTAATGTGGGGCTACTCTGAGGAAAACAGCCAGTCCTCAGAGAGAGCCTTCTGCGTTCCGCTCCACTTTCATCGTCTTTCACTTAAAGTTAAATTGAGTCCACAAGCCTGAAATACAGAGGCAGTCTCCAAGGCCGCAATGAGTTTCAGCTGGATGTCTCCTGGTCTTCATCCTGGACCGTCTGACTCCCTGTTCTCGGAGTTAGCTCCCACGTGGAGGTGGCTCCTCTGTCCTGTAAAACAAGAACAATACATCTGTCCAGTCTCTGTGGAAAAATAACATGTATAATAGTTATTATTTTGATGTGAGCCGACCCAGCATACCTTTATCAGCACACCCAAGGGTGCCAGGTCATTTCTGAGGGTGTCACAGGCTTTGAGGAGAGGGATTCTCTCTGGGTATAGTCCAGGTTTGGTCGGGCCATCCTGAGGAACTAGTGCGAATGCTCGAACTTCACTTCTGAAATGAGTCAGCTGCTCCACAACGGCCTCCAGACTTCCACCACTACGAACCTCAGCAGCCTCCTGCACAGGGGAGGAAAGGTGTGTTTATAATCTGGACTCCTGAGTGGAACAGTGAGGGGATTTATGGAATATAACATTCAGAACTTTGTTTTCATGAGTGTATAAGCACCTGAAACTAAGAATCGTTGTGTTTTTATTCATATCTACATAGAGAACATGTTTCTACAGCAGCCCAGAAGGACCAACTGAACTCTGGCTCTAGAGAGAGAGTACGACATGTGAATGTAAGGATGCAGTGAGCATCTCCTCTGCTCTGTGTCGAGGCTGAGCTCTACTATTGCACTACTTTTGTCAATCCCACATTTGCCGTCCTGCTGCCGGTTTAGAATCTCTAAAAATGTAAATGTTCTCCCTGAGCTCTGACCTTACTGTGCAGCAGATCGATCCCAAACACGTCCAAGACGTCTGTGATGTAGCGGACCATGGCTCCGAACACCGCAGGGCTCCGAGTCACTCCCTCACACTGAACACATACAAAACACACGTCATTCCAGCCAGGGTTCAGTGTCACTAAGATGCCGGGGATCGAACCGCCTAGCTTTCAATGTGCTTGTTTCCACTGACTCTTCATGATTTCTAGTGACATGACTGTGGATGGTAAACAGTTAGTCACATGGTCCTACTTGTCGATTATAATGACCCCAGAGTTTTTCTTCTAGCAACTCAGGACAAGGGTTACCTTTGGTTCCACTACTGGTAACACTGATCATCACAACTGTAACCTTTAGTCTGGTTATGGAATCCCACAGTGCGTTACCTTAGAAACAGGCTGCAGCTGGCGGTTCCCATGATAAACCAGATTCATCACAGCACTGATGGCTCTTGGGGTATCGAAGTCATCTGCCAGAGCTTTCACCACGCTGGATTTAATCTCAGCCAACCTGAAACACAACAACACCAGTTGTCAGAAATAGACAACCATTTGGCATTTACTTCTTTTTTAAGGGGGTGAGGGTTCACATATACAGTCAGGGCCAGAAGTATTTGGACTGTGACACAATTTTTCTAATTTTGCCTCTTTACACGACTCCAATGGATTTCAAACTAATCAGTGAACATGTGGATGAAGTGAAGACTTTCAGCTTTAATTCAATGAATAAAACAAAAATCACATTAAGCGTTTAGGAATTACAGCCACTTCTACACAGTCATCCACATTTTGAGAGGCTCAAAAGTAATTGGACAATTGTCTGACAAACGCTTTCATGGCCAGATGTGTCCTGTTCTGTCACTATTTCATGACAAATGATGCCGACAACAGGATTCAAAATGTTGTATTTGCAGTTGGTAGCTGGTCCTTGGAACTCTCAGCATGCGGACCAAAAAGGTGTCGATGCAAGTGAAGGAGAACATTGTTAGGTTAAAAAAAAACACTTAAACCATCAGTCAGATAGCAGAAACATTAGGATTGACCAATTTAACAGTTTGGTACATTCTTAAAAAGAAGGAATGCACTGGCAAGCTCACCAACACCAAAAAGCCCAGAAGACCATGGAAGACATCTAAAGTGGATTATTGCACATTTCTTACCTTGGTGAAGAAAAACCCTTCATAACATCTACTGAAGTCAAGAACACTCTGGAGGAGGTAGGCGCGCCATTGTCAAAGTCTACAATCAAGAGACGCCTTCATGAATCTAAATACAGAGGGTTTACAACAAGGTGCCAAGTCAGTCACCTGATCTCAACCCAAGTGAGCAGCTTTTCATTGACTGAAGGTAAAACTGAGGGCAGAAAGACCCACAAACAGCAGCAGCTGAAGGAGGCTGCAGTGAAAGGTCTGGCAAAGCATCTCAAAGGAGGAAACTCAGCATTTAGTGATGTTTATGAGCCAGACTTCAGGCAGTCATTGACTGCAAAGGATTTTCCTCCAAGTATTAAAGCTAATGATTATATTCACAATTATGTTAGTTTGTCCAATTACTTTTGAGCCTCTGAAAATGTGGATGACTGTAGAAGTGGCTGTAATTCCTAAACAGTTAATGTGATATTTTAGTTTTATCCATTGAATTAAAGCTGAAAGTCTAAACTTCAACCACATGTTGACTGATTAGTTTCAAATCCATTGGAGTCATGTAAAGAGGCAAAATTAGAAAAATTGTGTCACAGTCCAAATACTTATGGCCCTGACTGTACATATATAGATATATAGTAACACTACAGTGAAAGTGTACCTCTCCCAGAGAACAGCTTCCCGTACAGGTGAACAGTGCAGCTGCCCCTTCATGTAGACCGTAGCATCGTGGATGAAGGTGGAGATGGTTCTCAGAGAGGTCCGAGCCTCCAGCATGCTGCCGTCACTGTAGTCTACACCTGTGGAGACACCACAACAACCCAGGAATGCTCTTCAGTTCAATATTCTAAACTTGCTTTTACATTATGCAGTTACCAAAATATTTGTTAAAAACAATAGTTATGGTTTACTGTGTTAATCATTTTAATTTATTATGTTTTTAAAATCATAAATATTACAAATATACAATTATAATGTATTTTTCAATGATTTGATTCCTGATATGCTCTTATATCACATTGCACTGGACAAAAGTAGAGGATGAAGAAACGATATGCAACCATAGTACATAGTACTATATACACCATAGTACAGTCACTACACAAACACCTGATCTGTATTTGGTCAAAAGACAAAACATCCGGAACTCATTTGCAGAGTAAGACTGCAGGAAATCCTACAGGGAATAAAGAAAGACACAAGATTATTTTCACACACTGCTACATACAATGTGAAAGATACACAGCTGTTAGTGATGACTTACCTTGATGGTGACAAAGTTCTTTAAAGATTTAGACATTTTCTCTGCACTGCCTTTTAGGTGTAAGTGGCCTAAAAACAAAAACAATGAAAAATAGAAATAGTAGGCTTTGTAAGGTTTAGAGACTTAACATATGTAGAGTTTTTCAGCTGTGTTCAGGTTATTTAAAAATAAAGGTCAGGAATATACTTACATTTTCCTTTTTATTTAATAATTCACACTGTATGTAGAGATTATTTTGTGTTCAGAACTTTGATAACTAGTGCTCCGGTACAGCTGATCACTACATCAGGACTCCGTTAGTCACTTGCTGGCAGTATGAGGAGGAGGAAACTAGACAGTGGAGAACTCTACACCAGCTACGTCTGCAGGAGGCACACATCATTGCTATCAATAGAATAGTGGAGTTTAGGAACAAAAACAGTCTGGGATTTAGGATGTACCTGAGTGGAGGAAGTAATTTGCCCATTGTCCACACAGGTGATAGGCTTCACTCTGAGCGACCTCATTCTCATGGTGAGGAAAGGCCAGGTCGATCCCTCCAGAGTGGATGTCCAGCTGACTCCCAAACACTGAGCTGAAAGCAGCACAGACAACAACCCTGTAGACGGAGGCTGAAGAGCATGCTGGATCATTATATATCCACATTAGATTATTATTCTGATAGTTTTAGTGCTACTACTGCTATCACTACTCTCATTTTATGAATCATTTCTGTCATAAGCCTTGAATGTGTTCATTCTGTACACATGACATCTATCACACTTCTGTCCATCCTGATAGAGTTTCCCTCCTCTGTTGCTCTCTCTCAGGTTTCTCCCCGTTAAAGGGTTCTGGGGGAGTGTTTCCTGTTTTGATGTGAGGGTCCTGGGACAGAGGATGTTGATGTGTACAGATTGTAAAGCCCTCTGAGGAGAATTTGTGATTTTAGACTAAACAAAAAATTAAATTGAATAAAGCAATCTATTGATTTCCATGAATTGATAATTCTGTAAAATACCAATCACAAGTTCCAAGAGACCATAGTGATCTCTCACAACCGCAAATTTTGTCTGACCATAGAAATGGAAAGATATTGATTTTACAATCATATCAAATTGAGAAAATGATCAACCTTATACTTGATAAAGGTAGTAAAGTTGAATAAAGTGTGCAGTACAGGCTTCCTTCTCTAGATACTCTACAGAAATATCAGTAATAAACCCAGTTCACTATTAGATATGAATGGTCCTGAAATCCTTTCATATTACTCGTGTTTGTTCAGAACCACATTTCTTAATCCTTCAAACTACAAGAAAAAAGAAGCATTGGCTCAAAGTCATCTATGAAAGTCCCATAGATCTTAATGAAGAATTCTGTTCTTCAAGCTTTAAGGGTCTGCTTATGTTGAAGGATAGACTCTCACATACAGACTAAATATAGTATAGACTATACCAGACTAGATGGAGCAGACAGATTGTGAATCCAAACCTAGCGACGGTGGAGCATTCGATATGCCAGCCAGGTCTTCCTCTGCCCCACGGAGAATCCCAGGATGGTTCCTGAGGTTTGGACGGCTTCCAAAGAGCAAAATCCCTCCCGTCTCGTTTATTTGAGTTGCCTGGAGAACAGTCCATTAGTAGAGCTCATATACATAGAATGTGCCTAATACGGGACAAGCAGTGCCAGTTTATCAATTTTATCAGTTTATCAGTTTAATGCGTACGAGTCTCGGAAAAAGTTTGAATGGCTACTGAAACTTGGCCAGGACTCAAAGAAGAACAGAGAAAACAGCTCTAGATAAAACACTCTGTTGTTACTCATTACTGCATCATTTTAGAGTTGAGGAGAGTTTCCCCACCAGACCGGGTTTACAGTTTGCCACTTAGGACTGAACAAATCAGGTTTAAGAAATCTGTGATTTCCTTTTGAAAAGGGGAAAATAAATCACACCTCTGCTCTACTTCAGACCACAGGAAGTACTACACCTGGTGGGAAGAGTGGAAAAGATCAATCTCTGTCTTCTACAGACCTGTGGTCTAATAAAACTACACGAAACACTTACCAGGTTCTACCTGACAACCCACAGCTCCCACAAACTTGCCATAACGATGACCAATGGACTGGATGTCAAAATACACGTCACCTACAATCAAGGCATATCACAAATGATGACTCAGGTAATTAGCACATACAGACATTATTTCACGGGACAAAGTACAATAATTCCTACATATTCACCTTCCTTTGTGGCATAAGCGTGTCCGTTTTTCACGATCCCCTCAATGAAGGAGACAATGTGATGCACATTGTCAGTGACTCTTAGATACACTGCAGGAGGAGTCACCTCAGACACAATGACAGAAGATGGAAGTTTAAAGATAAACACACATTTGTTATGATTGCACTTAAATGATAGAAATATACATGTTTAAATCTAACTTGGTCATGACAGGTGGAGCAACAAGATATACTACATTACTATCTGTTGATAACATGTTGGTATTATTCACCGACTTATCTATGGTGTATGTTGTAATAGAATACATTTTTCATCACAGATGCACTTGAGAAAACATCCTCCACCAGATCTCTATTACAATGTGCAACTCACACCAAACCTATCTAAATTGATAAAGAGCACTACAGGAGAGAGGAAACATTTGTTTTTTTATTTTAGGATCAAAAATAATACACCATTTATGTCACCCTTAAAGTAATTTAAATGTGATGGTAGAAAAATATGACTCACACACCTTTAATGACAGCATATCCCTCTTGAATTCCTCCTCGTACACTGAGGCTATGGTGGTTGGAGAAACATTGTCCTACAAAACAAGGGAAACATGTTCTCAATAAAGAGGCGTACACATTATAGGCATAGGGATGGCTGATGTTCCTTACCTCCAAACTTCTTTTGATAATCTTGTCATCTATGTCAGTGATGACCATGGCATGGATCACAGTGATTCCAAACAACCTGGACAGGATCCTCTGCAGAATATCAAACCTGACATACGAGCTGTGACAAGACATATACAAAGTTATTTAACGTCAACCACATTATGTACACAACATATAAAGTGTTTCTATCAGTACCAGGCATGACCCAGGTGGGCGTGGTCGTAGACTGTGGGTCCGCAGCTGTACCTGTGACACAACACACGTGACATACAGTGTGAGGTTACCATGCACGCTGTGTACAGTCATCATACAACCAGATTCTGTCATTTTACCAGGTAGCTACTCCTTCTCTTGCCAGAATGAGAGGCTCTTTCTGTTTGGTCAGGCTGTTGAAAGTCTTTAAACCCGTATCGAACCCGCTGGGTCTAACCCAGGTCTTCCCTGGACCACTACCAACGCTACAGGATCCTGGTCTGTGTTTCACAGCGTGGACTGACTGAGCTGCACAGAAAGCACCGCGGAGTACTTTTGCTTTCGTCCACATAGTGACACCCGGCTGTGTATGAAGCAACATGATAACTGCTAGCTTAGCCTAACAGTTTGTAATGTTAACTAACGTGCTAGCTAATGTTAGCAGCAGACCATCTCCACACACTACGCGCTATTTCAGCGACTATTTTCTCGCGCATTTACGTTACCTCTACCCTTCTCGCGAGAGTCGAATACCGGAAGTGTTGAGACGTGTCATGTGATCTAGCTGGCACTGTGCTGGGGTAGCTATGTGAGAATAACTCTTTTTTAATTCAACAGAACAGTGAAGGTGTTATCCAAAAGGAGCAGCACAAGATGCAGAACGTGATAAACTCGGTGAAGGGGACGGCGCTCGGAGTGGCGGAGTTTCTCACTCCAGTGTTGAAGGTAAACACTCTCTGAGCTAGCTTGTTGCTAGCTGGTGGCTACTCTGACATGTTAAACACGCAGGAACACATTATCAAATATATCCAGTCATGTTGTTGGTGCTCTAACGTTACTTTATGTTCAAACATGAAGTTTTTAAGTTACAGCCGGTGGTTAATGCTATAACCTTACATGTTAAAGCCCTGGTTCTGTTCTCCATCACAGGAATCTAAATTCAAAGAGACTGGAGTCATTACACCAGAAGAGGTGAGAACATACTTCTTAAAGGTCCTGCAGCATATTTCAATTATGTGCTACATTACATGACCTTATCTAAAGTCTACTTCCTCCTCTCTGCTTCTTGTTTTAGTTTGTAGCAGCTGGGGATCACTTGGTTCACCATTGCCCCACATGGAAATGGTGAGTGTGTGTCACAGATAAATCCATTCCTAATTACACATGTGAAGTAGGATTATTAGCTCTTCAAAGCTATATTTAAGTTTTGCAGAGAGAGTTCACAGACCAGGTCCAGCAGTGGTTATTATTTTTTATATATATATATATTATGATGTCATTATGTTGTATTGTTGGAGGAGCTCAGCCTCGACACAGAGACCAGAGGAGATGCTCACTGCAGCGTGATAATAAATGACACCAAAACATTAATAAGTACTAATAAAATTAGCAGTAACATGGGGGCTCATCAATACTCTGGTCTTTAATACTTTAATACTTGGTTTCAGTACTTATCCTACTTCAGATAACCTAAAAACGTGGTCGGCTCTCTCTCTCTCTCTCTCTCTCTCTCTCTCTCTCTCTCTCTCTCTC